CATGTTCTCAAGAGAACATGGCGTCGCCTCAAGAGGCCTCACTGCCCGCGTCCAACAGGAAGGGCTCACTGTCTTTTCCACTTCCTGCCTTCCTGGCGCAGCCGCATTCCTTCCAACCTCCACAGGCGAATCCGAGATCGCTGCAGAGGCGTAAAGAAGACCTGGGCAAGCTGTGAAGTGCCCTCGTCGATGTATTGCTTGGCCGTTTTGCTACATGACCAGCGCCCACGTGCCACTGTGGCATCCATGCTGAGGGAGGACTGGAAGAACCACGTGGCGCCCCCTCTGCGGAGGCTGTAGGGTGAGTAGTCATCCGGAGCAAAGCCCAGCTTTGTCAGCATCTTGGCAAACTGCACGCGAAACTGACGGGGCCCAGGAGGCCAGAGCAGATCCTTGCGTCGAGGCTCCAGAATGCTCTGAGCAAAGCTGACCAGCTGCCGATCCTGTACCAGGACCACCTGAGGGTTTCCTTGTGAGGTCTTGCTCCCAGGGAGGATCACACTCATGCCATGGCCCCGGTCGTGAATCACCAGGTGTCGGTGCGTAAGCCCCACCAGCTCTCCGGTGCGAAGGAGAGCGTTGAAGCCCACGGCTAACAGGAGGGCGAAGGTCGCCTGGCCTTGACTGAGTGCCAGGCCCATAAGGGCCTCCACTAACTCCCAATGAGCCGGAATGGCTCGCACCGGCCTGTAGCAGCGCTGCCAGTTGCGGTAGTATTGGCTTGCCCGTGGCAGCTCCAGTCTTAATTCTGGGTGAAATCTTTTGATGGCGGAAAGAAGGTGCCCTGAGTAACTCATGGGCTCACCCTCCTGATAGGAGAGGTCAATGAATTCGGCCAACTGGCGATCCAGGCGATGTGGCTTTGCTATATCAAGCCTCCTGCGCTTGACATGCTTCAAAAATCTATCCAGGGCTGTTCGGTAGGCTCGTAGGGTGCGAGGGTGCAGGCCTGCAAACTTCAGGCCTCGTTTACTTCCCTTCATGTGCTCGGCTTGGCTTGTCCGCAAAGTTCCATGCGCTGATGGTCCAAAGCGGAAAGATGTAGTCGTCCATCGCAAGAAGGTAGGCACTGCACCTTCGTGCCACCCTGTTGAGCCTCCTGGAACTGCTGCGACCCTTTGCAAGGACGCCCCTGGTAACCATCGAATCCAGCACGTGGAAGAACCTCTGGTGTTGCTTCGTGCTAGTCCGCGCTCTGCGCTTGAGGAATACAGCCACTGCCAAGAGCTCAAGTTCATTGATATGAGCTTCTTGCCGCCATGCATAGGCCATAGAGGTGCGCCACTTCCACCTCATGGCCAGGTAGGGTAATTCATGCACCTGCCCGCCGGGCAGCTCGAGGGACAGTCGGACATCTGAACCTCGGTAAGTTGCTTGCCGGAGGAGGTAGCGCAAATGCTCCTTCTCTTGCCCCTTCATCATTGACTGCTCCATTGATGCCAGCAGCCCAGCCACTGGCCCTGCCACTTCGGGATGCGCCAACCTGTCTGTGGACACGGCCAACTCCTCCAAGTAGTGCGCTTGCCGAGCCTCCAAGACAGCTGCATCGAAGTGTCCATCTGCCTCAAGCTGCTCCTTGACAGCCTGGGCGTAAGCTTTACACATCTCCCACGGGTATTCAGCCTCCTCCTCCGTGGGGTAACGCAGCGTGCCGTCTGGCATTTCTTCTACTTCATAGCTCCTCAAACCTTCGTGGCCCGGGCAGTCTCGGGAAAGGTGCCACCTCAGCGTGGGGAGATCGCTGAGCACTGCGAACCACTTCTCCCGCTCTCCGCCGAAGCAGCAATGGGACCCCACTGAGTACTTCATTTCTGGCCACTCTTCCATGTCTTTGACGAGCTTAAACTCCCACATCCATGAGCGTCGTGGGTGCTCCACTGACCAGTAGCACTTCTTTCCTCTCCTGTCCTCCTTGCCTCTTCTGAGAGCCCTGAGCACCATTTGGTTAGACTGTCGGACTCTAGCTTTCATTTCGCTCGACAACCACGGATAGCCCATGACGTGGTTAGCGTCCCGAACCGGCTGCGGGCCAGCAATCGTGCGACCGTTGCGAAGCTTGATCGGCCGTCCTCGGGCTCTGCTGAAGAGCTTGCATTCGGGTGCCCAGTGCTCAACAGCCAGACATGGGTCGTTCATCAGGTCCCTCAGCGTTTCCTTTCCCTCATCAGTGAAGATGTCATCACCGAAGTACCAGTCAAAAGGGGGTTGGACCTCCACCTTGCCCAGCATGGCCATTGCATGGCTCAGCGGCGCTCTTCGTCCCGCAAACCTCTCCCCAAACTTGGGTATTCTCCATGAGCTCCTTGGGCACACTTCCGCTCCCTCCCGATGGGTCAGGACACAGGAGAGAGAGCAGAGAGTGGCCCCGCAGATGGCAGGGCATGGGTACTGGTCATGCTCTGGGACGTCAGCTCCGCATTGAGCACAGACCGTCGGATCACGTGCAATGGTGCACGGTGCATCCCAGAACTCGACGGCCGTGGCAGCTCCACCCCCAGATGGCGAGGCGTCCGTGATTGAAACCTCTTGGTCGATGCGGGCCCTGAGATTCGTATACATGAGCGGAGTCAGAGCCATAACCATGGCAACCTCATCCCAACTCTCAGGTCGGGGCGCAGCTCTGTCCTGGTTTGCAGCTCTGTCCTGTATCTCCGTGAAGAGCGATTCGAACACTGCAAAGAGGGGTCTTCTGAAACAGCAGCCGAATGTAGCCTTCCCCACAAAGTGACGGATCTCTGCTTCAGTCCACTTCTCCTTGGCCAACAAGGTGGAACCAAGGGTAAGGATGTTCAGCATCTTATCCAGTGCCAGCCCGTAACGGCCCAAATCTCCGTCCAGTTCGCCTCCTTGGAGGGCTCCATGCACTGTAGCCACAAGCCTTTTACCCTCGTTCAGTGGCAGTTTCAATTCCCTGCAGGCGGCCAAGAACCTTTCGTGCCTGTCCGACGGCACACCCTCCAGCACCTCTGCACAGCTCCTGTTGAACTTTCGGAGTTGGTCGTATGAGTCCAAGTAGATCACTGTCAGATCTCCTCCCTCTGGCAGGGGTTTTGTCTTAGCCACTTCTGATGCCTCTGGGATCTCCGCCACCTTGAACACTAATGTCCTGACAATGCTCTGGATGATCGCCACACTGCTGATCCAGCCCATGGGCAGCACGGCCATGGCGCGGTAGACAATCGTTCCTGCCTCCCCACCCAGGAGGGAGGCGTCAACACCCTTTCCAAACGCCATGTACTTGTGCCAGCACTGGGGCAGCCGGAAGAGGTTAAAGCAGCTGGTGAAGTCTTCCGAATCAATCAGCCACACCTCCTCCTCTTCTTGTTCCAGGAGGGTCAGCTGGCCCAGGTACGGCAGCAGCTTGTCATCACCATCAATCCGCTCTTGGTAAAAGTTGGCTGGGATCAGGTTGCTGATGAAGCGCTGCACCATGGACAACTCCATCCGCCTTCTTTTCCTTCTTCACTGCTCCGGCACCATTAAGCACCGGGTGACCATCCTTATCCTTGAAGACCTCATCTTGCTCTACAGCCACCATGAGCCCTCTTTCGTAGGCAGCCCGAACCACTTTTGCCCACTCCTCATCCGAGGCTCTCACCTTCGAGTGTGGGGGCTTGACTGGCCAATCTTGCGCTGGTTTCAAGCAGGACTCCGGATCACACAGCTTGCGCCGGAGGGGCTCCGGAAGAAACTCCACAGCTTCCTGCACCGCTGCTTGGCCCACTTTTGGCCAGGCCGCAATCACTCTCTCGGCTACGATGTCTTCCATGGGCATCACCGGTTCGCCCTGGTAGTCAAACCGAGCTGCCGCCAACTTTTGGGCTGCCTCCTCAAAGGCCTCACACTTCAACCCCGAAGCCTCGACATAGCACAGGGCTCTGCACAGGTGCTCCACAGTAAGTTTCTGAGCCCTTGTGAGCTCCTTGGGAAACTCCAGGTTCGTCCAGCCTCCGTGGGCTTGGGCCCTTGCCAAGAAGTTCAAGGCGTTCACCATGCAGGTCACTCCTCGGGCAATCCTGGGGTGTTTCTCCTTGAGGTACCGCTCAACCGCGACAGGACTGATGGGAAGCAGGTCGTCGCCCCGCAAATTCTTTGAGGAAGAACCCTCGGGAGGCACCCCTTTGGCAACAGAACTTTGCGCCAGGCGACAACATGGCGTGTCTCTTGCAAGCATCATGTCCCACAGACCCGCTAGGACGTCGACCGGTGACCTCCTTTCTCCCAGGAATGCCTTCCAGTCCAAACTCTCAGAGCCCTTCGGCTCCGGTGAAGCTTCTTTCTTCTCCTCTGCAACTAGTCCTTCTTGTCCTTGTCTTTGCTTTCTCCTTTTCCTTTTCCCTTGTCCTTCCCTTTCTTTCCTCCTTTCTCCCTGTGACCTCTTCCGTCTTTGTCCCCTCTCGGAGGCTGCCACCCCTTCAGCTTGAGGTCGAGGAGATGCTCCCTGTTCATGAACACTTCCTCGTCCCGCTCCAGGAGACCGCCCCCGTCGGGGCCCAGCAGCTCGAGGTACTGGGCTGCTGCCCAGTGACCGTCGTGGCAGCTCTTCTCTATTGCCTTCACTCTCTGGCCCACCAGATCCGCCGCATGGGCGGGCTGCTTCCTTGCTAGGAGGTCCAGGACTGTGCAAAGTGTCCTGAGCTCTCTGTGCGCCCGAAAGGTGAGCTTCGGCCCCAGCTGAGGTACGATCATGGTGTGGAAATAATGCACCGCGGCCGGGGGAGTCATCTCGCCGACTTCGGCGGGGCTCGCCCCCACAGCTCCTAGGGCCCCCTCGGTCTGCATCTTCAGCAACAGCCTTGATGCGAGACGGCCCGGCGTCTTCTTCGAATACTGAATCAGCTTGAGCTGATTCGATGCCTTTGGAGCTGCGGGGGCTTCGCGAAAAACTCCCTCTGACTCACTGCTGGACTCCCCCCGATACCTCACAATGTCTCCGCCTCCAAACGGACCGCGGTCCTTCCGCGTGTTGGCCCCAGACGCAGGCCTTCCCTTGACTGGGTCGGCCCCGAAGAGCCCTTCTCCCGACTCCAGGTCTTCTTCACTGGAGGTATCAGACATCGTCTTCCTCTTGTCCTTGGTCTCCTTGGCTTCCTTCTTCTTGCCGGAGCCAGTGGTCCTCTTCTTCTTCTTTGCACCTCCTGAGGAGGGTGAAGGCTTCCGCTTCTTCTCCTTGGACTTCTTGCCGCCCGTCTTTTCCTCCGAGGCGTGGGCCTCCTTTTCTTCCTTGTCATGAGCCTTCTTTGGCTTCTTTTTCTTTAGCTTCTTCTTGGCGGCCTTCTTGAGGCTCTTCATTGCCAGAAGCTCCTTTTCCAACTTTCCAACTTCATGCTTGGCCTTGAGGAGCTTGGCCCGCAGCCCTTTATCACCTGAGCTGTCCTCACCAGACTCGCTCCCTTCTTCCTCACTGTCCTCACCACCTGGGTCCACCCAGGGTAAAGCCCCCGCTGCTTCTTCTTTCTCGGGCTCCAACTTGCGCCCTTTCAGGTACTTCAGAAAGGACCCTCCCAATTCTTTCTCGAAGGCCCACGACGGCACTTTTCTGTCAATCTCCTTCTGGGTGAGCGCTCTGAATCGCTCGAGGTGAATGGCGGCCCCTCGGCGACTCACTGGGCAATCGATGCTCGGGACCTCACAGCAGTGGTAGGCGCACTTCTTGGCGAGCCCTTTTCCGGCTCCCTCTGACATCCACCACCGCATATGCGGGTCACTAGCCGCCACGTAGCGCCCATGGATCCAATGCCCTTTGGCATCGGTGCTGAGGCTGTCCAACACCTCGAGGATCACCGTCCCTTGGGCTTTTCCGTCATCGTCGCGGATGGCTCCCTCGAGCAACATCCCCTGACGGAACTTGAAGCCATGCCAGGCTTCGCGGTTCACTCCCCCTGCCACCCACATTGGGGTGACAGGGGGGTAAGGTTGCCCTTGAACCAAAAGCTGGAGCGTGTCGACATATGTTCGTTGCTCCTCAAACATGGTTTTCGTCGACAGCACTCATTGCAATTGAACAAAGGCGCGCACTTTGTTCATCTGGCTTGCCTGGATCCATGGGTTTTCCAGCACCGTGAAAGGATCTCGTTGGCAGCCGATCTCGGAACTGTGCGGTGGTAGTCGTCAATGCGGGACTCACCTTGGACTGGAGACCCTCATGGTTGTGTATCCACTGGTGAGAAAAGTGGATTCCCCAAGTTCCCCAGTTCTGATCCATGATGAACTGTCGATAGGCTTTGTTCGTCTGTACTTTCGTACATACTAGCATCTTGCTCGGTATGTCCTCCCTGATGTAGATGCCTATCGTAGTTGTTTGGATGCCAAACAATGGAGGACAATGCTCTGCAAGGCTCAACTGTCAGGTCCCCAAGGTGTAAGGGTAAATAGCTTTCTCGAGTGGGAGAGCAAGCATAGGGTAGTGGTGGCTTATTAACTTATAAATTGTATTGCTTTGCTACATGGGCTCTAACTCCGACCATGAATAAAAGCAGCCTGTGCCCACAGTGAATAACCTCCTTTTCTTGCACCCAAGAAAAGAGGCTGTCAAAACAGGTGTCATGTCTCGTGAAGAGTCCTCAAAATGACTAACTTCATTCTCCATGTGGCTCGACTAAGACTTAGCCTCGACGGTGCAGTCTGCCTTCTTTCAAGATTCCCACTCGTCCACCTGTTCCACCTGCAGTCTGCGTCAAGCTGAATCCCTTCTGCAAACGGAGAATTCAAATGGACTACACATCTAATTCATCTAAACTCATAAATAAAAAATCCATAAATCATCTTATCAGCTCCTGCAGAAACCTGCTGGTTTGATCCATCGTGTGATCCTATCTTACGATCACTACAGACTTTGACCAGCAACTGAAACTTCCAGCAAGCAGGCTAAACATATGACTAGACATCCCTGATCCCAACTGCAGTTCCTGGCTCCTCTGTCCCACCTCCTCTTGGAACCAGCACGACCCCGCGGGGCCACGCCCCGCGGCACCGCCGACGCCGCCGACGCCGCGACCGAGAGCGACGGCTCGAGGGCGAAGTCTGCGGCGGGCGAGGTCCGAGGCCGTTGGGCGGAAAACCTCTTCCTGCCGCGACGCGCGAGGCGGAGGCGGAGCCGTTGGGGGTGCCGCTGGAGTGAGTTTAAGGAAAAGCCTCGCATCTACCAGTGATCTTGCAAGTGCAGGAAGTGGTCAGGGTGTTGACTCAAATTTTCTGTTCACCTTTTGGAAGTTCAAGAAAGAAATGGTAATCCAATCCTTGGTTAAAGTGTAGATCGTTGCAGCCTGGCAGAAATGTCCGATTTCTAGATTTACACAAGTCCATAAAAGGGAAAGCACACATGAAGCTCTTAATTGGACATGTCCCTTCCAAAAACACCAAGTAAAACCACCACCACTACTCACTACTCCCTCTCCTTGGCACGCTAGTCACACCAGCCGCACTCGTGGCTTTCAGTGCCTCCACCAGCCCTTCTAGCTTGCTCCCTTCGGTTTGCGGCGCCAGCTGCGAGCGCCGCGAGTGGCGGCGCGACTGGAGCCGCGCCAGCGCGCGGGTGGTCGAAGCCTCTGACTGCGCCCCAGTAGGGCGCAGTGAAAGGGGTCACCGATAAACGAATCATGACTAATCCTATTATCTTGTATACTATATATAGGGCTTCGATTGGGTTGGAGAGTCCAGGAAGGTTTGCTTAAATTCTGGAAGCAATTCTCTCCTTTTCCAAGTTCCTAAACTTCTGTCCCTGCCTTAGGTGCAGCTTCGATTTCGACTGCCACCTCGCTGTGCATCAGCAGCGCTTGGCTCACCTGCTTCATCCACAAACTCACCGACGTCTCGTCCTCCTGCTCCGTCACCGCGCGTGACCAGCGCATCGACGCCCCGCGGCGCGGGTGCACCGAGCGGCGGGCACCGCGGCCGGGTGTTCCCGCGGGGTCGCCGAAGTGCACCGAGGGGCGGGCGCCGATGGCGCCGGACCCGTCGATCGGGTCGGGTGACGCGGGAGCATCAACCACATCAACCACGATTGGCATCTGATTTTCTTCATCTTGAGATCTCTCTAGTCTCTCTAGTTCTCTCTTCTCAGGAAGCTGCACTTCGCTTCTTTGTTCTCGCTGTGGAAGCTTCACTTCAGCTCGAGCTCCACGCTCGGAATTGGGGGACACCGCATGGCTGTCGCCCGGATCACTCCTCGCCATCGGCGAATCGCTGGGCACGGCGATTCGAAGAACGTCTTCGCTTGCCACGTCTTCGTGCGGTGGTCGCTCCGAGTCACCTGGCGGATCGAAGTGGTGTGGTTGGTGTGAACCCAGTGATTCACCGAGGCCTTTTCACCAAAACGAGATGTGGAAGGATAGGGTGGTGTATGCATCACAAGCATATTCACTACAAACATCAAAGCCCTCTTCCTGAGCACTCGATGATCGCATGGTTACTTGTCGAGTGCTGAAAAGTCAGCAGAGCAACCGCGAGGCTATACCTCCAACTGCCTCCTCAAAAGGAGTATATAGGTCGGAGGGGAACTCCTTCACTGTCCTTCTTCCAGGGGGGTCGTTGCTTGGGAGGTTTCCCTATTTGAGCTACACACACAACTTGGTCATCCGATCATCGCGGTCACCGTTCCACCGGGCACCCCGTGAAGAATGTATTGTTCCATCTCACAGGGACGGTTCACGCAGTTGTAGATTGTATTACTATAAATATAATATTTATATATATATATATACACATAGAGTATTTGTAATTATTACATTATGTTATATCATTAAAATATATTGTACTATAGTATGATATATTGTATACTATTTTTATATTAATGTTACTAATGTTATATTAAATTATAGCATAGGAGGGTAACCAGTGGGTCGAACGACCTAACCGCAGACTTTGGATTGGTTCCTTGTAGTATGTAAGTGGGATCTACTGGTCTAGTATTGCAGCCAAACCAGTCCAAAGGACTCTCTTCGAGATGATCTGGACCTCCAATCTCCTCTTCGGCCAGCTCACTCTGCTCATCCTTCCCAAGCTGATCTGGTTTGAAGTCCTCCGACACAGCAACATCACCCTGCTCCATGTTATCGCTGTTGTGCTTTGCCATACGATTCGACTTGGGCAAATCCTGTATCTGGATCACTTCTGGATCACTTCGAGGGGCCGCAGGAGCTGCAGCCAGGGTCGAAGGAGCTGCCACCGGCGGTTCCACAGCCGAGCTGACACTGGCCATTCGCTCCTTCGTTCTGGTGGGATGCGGATCCTTCGTCTTCCGCTCGACCTCCTTCTGCTCGACGTCCTTCTCGCCCACGGGCGGCAGCGGCAGCGCCTGGAAAGGACCCACGTTGCACCAGAAGGACCCATTGGGCGTTGGGGTGGTCCCCCCTATGATCATTGCATTATAAAGCTACGAACGTAACAAGTGCATCGGTACTCGTAACAAGGGCTAGATCTACTAGCAACAAGAAGCTACTAGCGATGCCCTTGTTCTAGATGTTCCTAGTACCTGCAGCCTAGTTCGAGTTGAAG